AGCAACCCATCTCTGGTAGCAACACAGGATGAGAAAACACATACGACATATCAGTCTTGGGAAAGCACATGACAAAAATAAGAAGAGCATGGAGGCACTAACAGCTGACTTTAACTATGTGATCTTTCCTTCTTAAGCAACTGAAGAGTTTAACCCATATTTGGATGTCTCCAAACATCAGAGAGTAAGAATTTCTACTATACAAGAGTTGGAATAAAAAAAGAGAGGGTGTTAGATGTCAAACGTATTTGAAAAAGCAAGGTAAAACTAGACCAGGCCAGGTCGGAATAGTACCAAACATAATAAAAGTTGATCGTTCTTTTAGGTAAATCAAAACAACTTTATTCTGTAAACATATACAGATAATCAAAGCTTGATGATATCGTTGCCTGACTGAAAATACCAGAAACTATGAATGTTAATATATAAAATTTCTTAAAATATTTATTTTCTTTAAAATAAAACATTATAATACAAGATAAAACAATTTTTCTCTAGAGTTTGAAATTTGCTTTACATTTTAACGTATTTACTAGGAGTATCTACATAAAATATTGTTGTACAACATTATAGGTTTTCATAATTGCTGTACAACATAATCACGTGTGCAGTGTTGGTTAATATAAGATCAATGTGCAACACTATAGCAATATTACGAGCTTTAGAAAACCAGAGAATTACAACCAACAAAAGGAATTTAGTATGCACATTTAAACGCAATGGTTGGCAGATAAAGCTATTTAATTTTTATCCGAACCTATTCACAAATTTACTGAATACCTGAAAGTTTAAAAATGAGTAAAGGATTATGCATGTAACCATGCTTATGCAATCTGAAAATCATAAAGCAAGGTTCTAGTTTGTTGAATGAAATATGTTCATAATGGATTGCAATATTTCAATCAATGTGCCTATATTTTAAGCATAAGAAAATGTTAGAGAAGAGAGATTCTAACTTAAAGGAGTGTTATAGAAATTAGTTGTTCCCATTCTCCTATAAGAACTCAGAAAAAGTTCTATTTGTTCTCCCTGATATTGGTGTTAATAAAAGATTCAAATCTAAATGATTTTTTTCATGGTAAGAACAGGAGTCTCTTCATACTGTTTATTTTAGTTGTCAAAATATATTTAAGGTCTTTTGCAATATAGGGGGTTAGCTATACTGAGCATGACTATAAGCCCTCCTCTTTTGTGGTGTGAAAAACAGGGAAGCAATAGATGGTTCCAAGTTCTTTCTATCGCTGAGTGTTCCAGCATTTAAAATAAAGTACTTTTTACTCTGAATTTGACACCAAATGTATGTGCACCATTTTGTGCACATACTTGCAACAGTGTTGTTGCATTGTTAAAACAACTGCATATTTTGAATATTTATTTTATAGTAATTACTAAACAGAGCTTGGAATTCATTTTAATAGAATATTCAATCCACACAATTCTCTTTACTGCTTGCTGTCTTTTTTTTTCTAATTTAATATTTCAATTCAGATATTTCTGGTTATGAGGATTTTTAAAAGAAATATATATCCAAATCATACATATAAATGAAAACCAAATGCTTATAATGTTTCAGTTACAAAGTAGAAGTCAAACTTTCTCACAAAACCAGAACAAAGGCATACGTGGGATCAAGACAACACTAAATTGATTTGATATAATTAAAATGTAACTCCATAAACTTTGGTGTAAACAGGTCTAAGTGCTTTAAATTCTGAACTGATTGCAAGTAGGAAATTAAAGAGTAAAGACATCTGCATATTGTCTCTAGAAATATATATCCATGTACAGTAAAAGCTCTCTTGCTTACCTTTTGAAATAGTTAATGCTGGAGACCATTGCGACCGTAGAATATCAAGACAAATACTGCCATTACTGTTAATATTTGGATGGTAAATTCTTGTCGTAAATGCAACCTGTTAAAAATAAATTATTTCCTTGGTTTATAATACCCAGCATAAGAGGTATCAATAATGTTGGGATCTAAAAAGTGCTTTACCTTAGGCGGTTTAAAGGGGTAATCTGTTGGAAAGTGAATTGTCAAGAAGAAGACCCCACCCTGATAGGGACTGTCATTCTGCAAAGACAAAGCTATTAGAAGACAATATAAGATATTTGCTCTATCATAATTAAAATTGGAGGGCTACTTACTGGTCCCATTATTGTTGCTTGCCAGTGGAACACTAGAAGAAAAAAGAAAGTGAAAGCTTGACTAAGACACTTAAGGCTAAAGTTCCTCTCTTTAACATCTCAGCCATTTTAAGCCATAATATGGCTTAATGGCAAAGTAATGTGCTAGTATTCTGATTACATTTAGTGGTTTCTAGATTATGAACCATTTCATGCATGGTCTATTTGTATCATATCTTGTAAGTTGGGATACTTCTTCTAGGAAAAAACAGAAGCCAGGAAAGTGCCTTTCCCCTGGCAAGTTCTGAAAAGAAGTTATACTTCATGCCTTTTGCAACATTTCAAAAGAAACCAGAGACAAAGCCATCTGTTATTTACTATTTAAAACTTAGAGGAGATGCCAGTGAATGCTATCAGACTAGTATATTCCAGCACATTGATTTGTTGCTAAACTGCATTACGAGCATGATCTTAGCAATGTCTCCCTCCACCATCAATAGGTTCTGCTGACCTGGTAATTAGTACACAAATAACTGACAAATGCAGATTCCAGACATCCAAACTGCTCACAATTGCAATTTAAAATCTGGCTTATATCCTACTAGGTTCAAGGTTCAAGGTTCATTTTATTTATATGCCGCCCTATTCCCTGCGGGACTCAGGGCGGCGCACAAACCCAAGGGAGGGGAAGGAAAACACAAAGAACTACCTGATGTCATCCATAGAGGCCATCTTTTTCTTTGGATCTTCAGGCCTGTCACACTTGGAGGATGGACATTATAAATATATAGTAAATTTAGTAACTGGAGAAGTTTGGATATGTTTATTATCTTGAATCTGTTTGAGTGATAGCATAAAACTTCTTCGGGAGTTATTGTTTCAATGCAATTCATCAACCAGATGTTTTGGTTCCAAGTTGTTTGAACTAGCAATGCATGAT